CTTTATTATGTTTCATAGATTATATACATATAAGTCATTTTTGGTAATTAAGTATTACTTCAAAGTAAACCGAGTTCCATATTTTCAGGTCAAAACATAATTTTATGCGTTTTTATTTATCTATTAATATGATCTAATTTTGCAACAAAATTTGAAATAAGTTGAACAAATTTTGAATAAGCGAATAAATATCTAAAAAAAATTCAACATAGAAAATTTTGAAAGATAATTTCTTAACTGACATGTTCTATATTGTTTGTCTTTTGGTCTTTTTCTTATTTTGCCAAATGTGGCCGGTTGTCAGTTTATTTTTGACTTTTGAGTTTGAATGTCCCTTTGGTATCTTTCGCCTCTCTGTGAAATATAACTTTTTATTAGATTACAACAGTTGTAGTCCTACCTCCACAATAAATAGATATAGGAAGATGTGGTATGAGTGCCAATGAGACAACTCTCCATCCAAGTTACAATTTATAAAAGTAAACCATTATAGGTCAAGGTACGGCCTTCAACACGGAGCATTGGCTCACACCGAATAGCAAGCTTTAAAGGGCCCCAAAAAATTACTAGTGTAAAACCGTTCAAACGGAAAAACCAACGGTCTAATCTATATAAAAACGAGAAACGAATCTATATTTTGTGATAAATATAAAAATATGAAGGTGTGTTAAGATTGCCAAGGAGACAACTCTCCACAAGAGACCAAACGACACACAAATTAACAACTATAGGTCACCGTACGGCATGAGTAGTGAGTAAAACCCATACCGCATAGTCACCTTTAAAAGGCCCCGAAATGACAAATGTAAAACAATTCGAACGAGAAAATCAACGGCCTGATTTATGTACAAAATAATGAACGAAAAACGAATATGATAGACAGCAATAAACGACAACCACTGAATTACAGGCTCCTGACTTGGGACAGGCACATACAGAATGTGGCGGGGATAAACTAGTAAGATGGCGCCAAACCCTCCCCCTAACCTGGGACAGTAGTGCAACAGCACAACACAAGAACACACTATACAAAACAATAAACGAAAAACAAATATGATAAACAGTAACAAACAACAACTACCCCTCAATTACAGGCTCCTGACTTGGGACAGGCACATATAGAATGTGGCGGGGTAAAACTAGTTTGAAGGCGCCAACCCTCCCCTAACCTGGGGCAGTGGTGTATCAGTACAACATAAGAACAAACTATAAAAATCCGTTGAAAAAGTCTCAGCTCATCAGATGGAGAAAAAAAACCAGAAATAGTTTTATAACGATGATAGAACGAATGACCAGAATGGAAAATTTACTAAAAAGTGTTGGCAAATTTACGATATATGTCATTTTGTTGTAACAGTTTTCAGCAATGAAATGTTTCGTTCCTTGAAGTGTGAGACGCCACTACCAACCCGCTCATGTCAAACTGACTGCGAAACTATACATTCCATACGAAAATTGTAACTGAACGTGTCAAATTGTCAGACATTTTTGTCAAAAACTTGAAAGGAATTTATAAGAGTATTTCCCTTTGAATTATTTTTTGTGTTTTGGTCTATCAATTACCAGAAGCAATAGATCAAATATATTTGGTGTATGAAATAATTGGGTTATATGTCTGTCTGACAGGATTTATCTGACCTTGACCTAGTTCATTAATATATGATATTAAGACCGTCAAATGTTGCTCATATTTTGGGGGCATTTTAAATATACAACCCTCCGTGTATAAATATTCACCAATATTTAAATGCCTCAACTGTTGACTCCGTAAGTTCTTAATGAATATAATTTTTTTTATCTAATTGCACTGGATCAACACTCATACTAGTGGAATGTTAGTCCCCGGAGGTATCAATTGCTCTAGTCATGTTCGTCTTAGGCTGTAAGTATCCGGCGGTATCATCCGCTCTGGTACTGGATCAGTACCCATGCTGGTAGATTATAAGTCCAATGAGTTACCGTTCTCTCTAGAAATGGATCGATACCCATGCTTGTGGACTGTTAGTTACCGGTGATATCTCCTGCTCTAGCACTTGACTGATACCCATGCTGATCGTATACTGTAAATACGCGTTGGTATCACCCGGTCTGACACTGAATCGATACCCATCCTTGTGGACTGTTAGTTACCGGCGGCATATCCTGCTCTAGAACTGGATTAATACCCATGCTGGTCGTATACTGTAAATACGAGGTAGTATCACCCGGTCTGACACTGGATTGATGCTTAAGCTGGTGGTCAAAGGCGGTATCGTGCGCCCTAGAACTGGAACGATAATCATGATTGTGGACTGTTACTTACTGCTGGTACCACCCGCTCTAGCATTGAATCGATACCCATGATGGTTGACTGCTAGTCCCCATACAGCGGTATCATCCGCTTTGAGTCAATATTTTGAAATTAGCAATATAATTCATTATGTCCATTTTTATGAATTTACGCAGCTACTCAATTTTTCACAATGACCAGGGTTGCAAATCCCCCATGCAGGATTAAAGCAATGTGGTTTTTTTTTCAGCGCAGGTGGATTAAAATAAAAATCCTGAAAGTTCCTGGCAAAATCTGAAACGTCAAAGTTTCAGAAATGCACATTTAATGCTACAAAATCTGTACGTTTTTTCCTTGACAGATTAGATTTACGTTTAACATTGACTGATTGATTACAACATTTTCTTAATTTTCCGTTTGATGAACTTGTGATGAACAAAAGTAAAAAATAAGTTCTTTCTGACTAATATGTGAAAGAATATATTTCAAAATGAAAAAAAAATCAGAAATGAGATAATAGATATAGGAAGATGTGGTATGAGTGCCAATTTCTTACATCACAATTAAAACATAACTAAATTAGCATTCTTTTCGAATGTTTTTTGGGATGTATACATACACATCCACGTTTATTTTCTATTTAGAAATTGTTTTATCTATACATAACATCATACATATTTATTATAAGGTTAAATCCTAACTATCTTACTATCTGTCGTTACTTTTATTTTGGCATTGCACAAGTCATGTCTTCTTTGACTGTCCATGGCGTTAAATCACTAAACCCCTGCCGGGGATGTGTTTTAATTGATTTTAGTCTCTGGTGCATGATTTTTTATTTTTTATTGTTTTTGGCTTTTAACTAGCTTTCAGTAACTGCGAGTACTCTCAAATCGTATTTTCGTGTTAATTTGACCTGTTGACACAATTTGTAATGCATTTCTGTTATTCAATGTTTACTTGTTTTGTGTTATATTTCGCCTTACTATTTTTAATATGTACCACCGTTAATAAGTATTTAGTATGACGAAAAAATTTTCACTTCTGTACACGTACTAAAAAGACTAACAAATTTATTTTGTGAAAAATGTTTCTGAACTCCTAACAACAAAATTATTACATTTAAATTTACCTGTGTACGTTACTTTAATTAACGCCATTTTTTATAAAGTTGTCTTTTTGACATTGAAACATCTTTTTTATTTATATTGTGTCATAGATCAAACTTATTCGTTCAGTGTATGTTTACTTGTTTTTGTGTATTGTCTTTTTGATCGATTTAAGTCATTTCAATTGATATTTTATTGTTTGTCTTTTATGTTGTAATTCTATACCACTGTTTCAGGTTAGAGTGAAGGTTGGCGTTTAAATCCGCTGCATTTTTATGCACCTGTCCTAAGTCAGGAACCTGTTGTTCAGTGGTTGTTGTTTGTGTGTGTGGTTCATAAGTGTTTCTCGTTTCTCGTTTCTCATTTTTTTTTTTTGTATAGATTAGACCGTTGGTTTTCCTGTTTGAATTGTTTTACACTAGTCTTTTTTTGGGCCTTTTATAGCTTGCTGCTCGGTGTGAGCCAAGGCTCCGTGTTGAAGGCCGTACTTTGACGACCTATAATTGTTTACTTTTTACACATTGTGACTTGAATGGATAGTTGTCTCATTGGCACTCATACCACATCTTCTTATTTATATTTAGTATTCCAGAAATGTTGTTGTTTTAAGGCTATTCGAATCTGACTCAATTTAGTTAACTCAAAAATCATATAAATGAAGAAAATAGTTTTATAACGATGATAGAACGAATGACCAGAATGGAATGTTATTTCAGTTTGAATTAGTATACATTTTTAAATGTTTTAGTGTAAAGGAAAATGTTTTGAGGATACCTGAAACGTGGTCACTTGCTGTTGGTAATCCTCTGTAAATGAATAAATATAATAAACTAAAACATTTGCATCTTTATACATGTATTACAGACTCTTCCATTGGAAAGGCGCCTTTACTGATTTATAAGAGGGTGTTATCACCACAGGGATGGGGATATTGTCATGGTATTTTTCCTTTTTCCTGTCTTTTTAATAAGATTCTTACCGTCAGTATTCGGATTTATATATGTACTGTCAACGTACGGTATACCACCCGCAGCCGTATACTAAAAAGTCCTATGGTAAATATATAAACCTAAATAGTCGTATAAAACAGATAGTTTTATCAAGATGTTTATTTCCTATTTCCGTCAAATGAAAAAGGGTTGGTAGCCTTCATTGATATTTATTTTCTCACCTTAAGAATTCAGATTATCTTTTAGAAACAAATGTTGAGATTTTCCCATTGTTGAAATGACAATGTTGAAGAGAATCTTCAATTTGGTAATGTTTGAATATGTTAATATGTAGTTATTCTCAATGAGATTTGTATTAAAAGAAATTATTCAATCTTTGTCAGAAATATTCCAATGTACATATTCTGGTCGCCTTTAAAACATCTTAAGCTGACCTCGGACACTTGACTTAAAACGTAGACCAGAATAAAGGAGACCTCTTGTTGTGCAAGCTACATATACAACGGTCATGATATCCCTCCACATTCATAGTTTACGATATTAAACATCTAATATTTTACTTTCACTGTTTCTCAGTCAAGTCTTTTCATGTAAACAATTTATATGATCATATTTTAAAAGAAATTTCTTTACACCTCACATATAAAGGTAAAGATTCACGCTTGTATTGTTACGTTTAAAAGGATTATCTGTGCCAAAAGAATAAATGTTTTGAACATCGACATTTTATCATCACATGTTTATGAATAATAAAATAAAAATGTCCGTAAACATTCATCGAACACTACTCTGTTTATTTGGAGTTGTCATGTTTTCTTTGATAACAGGTAAACTTTTGGTTTCAAAGTCTTCTTTTTTCTGCTTTGCCGAAACATTTTTGTAAGAAACACGTCTATAATCAACGTACATTTTAAAAGGTGCCTGGTTCATCTGCGTTAAAATCTTAAGTATTGTTCTTTTTTTTTTCCAATATTGAACTGTCAAAATTATTATCTTTCAGAAAGTGCGTGTCCCTTTGGTACGTTCGGAACAATGTGTCAGTTTCGTTGCCATTGTAAGGAGCCTCTAGATTGTGATAAAAACACTGGTAACTGTGAGTCTGGATGCACAGGTCAATGGTCCGGTAGAAACTGTCAGCAAGGTGAGAACACTTACTACGCCGAACAAATATATAGAAAATCTACTTGACTTGAATGTTATCGTCTAGATGATGATGGTGATGATGATGATGATGATGGATGGCTGCTTAATGTCCAGCGGCAAATTAATATGCATATTCAGGACGAGAACTATAAATATAATATGAAATTTAGCCCTGCTTTATACTAGACCGACACGTTGAGCCGGATTTTTAACGTGCTAGTTCATAAGGTAACAGTCCAAAGGAAGACATGTCACCTTTACTGGACACATTATTCTGACTCCGAGCTGACCGGTCTTTTCTCTTACTCTTTAATGCCGCGTGCTTAGCGGAGAAGCAGTAAATACTAATTTTAAAGACTGTGGTTTGACCCTGCCGGGGTTCCAACCCACGACCTCCAGCACTCGAGGCGAACACGCTATCACGAGACCACCGAGGCGGTTTTATCGTCTAGGATATAAAGATGAGATAACAAGGAAACAATCAACGACCAACATTTTGATACTTTTTTTTTCGCGTGCTTTATTTATAAGTAATTTAGAAAAAAGAACGGAATTTTGTTCATGGCCAAATGTCGTACAATGACCTTTGCGATATACACTTTTGTGGTTGTTGAGGTGGGACATATTACATTGATCCGTAACAAAACTGAATTCAGATCATAAGATTAACATGTTGTTTTTTCAGAGAATGTGTCGTTTAACGCATCTACATCACACAAAGTAGGAACAGGATCAACAGAATCTTGGTATGGTGTTGATGGTAATACTAGTACCTGTGCTATAACTTCGGCTGGTGTTAATGGTTGGTGGATGGTCAAGTTTGATAAACCACATACAATCCATAAAATATATCTCAACTCAGGTATGAAAAGTTTTTGAAGTAAAGACGCATACGTTTGCAAATATATTTATATCTACTAAGATCTATTTTGTTACATCTTGTGATCCGTTTATTTGGCAATCGCCAATGGCAGTCAGCAGGGTTTAAGAACATCAGTTGTTCGACCTGCTAGCCAAATGCGTTTTGTTAAAATATACTTTTTCACTCATTTGGTCTTTTGGAAAATGTTGTTTGTGCTGTATTTAAACCCCTCTACCAAGAAATTTTTTATGCATGCACACGTATAAAAATTGCGGTTTTTATCCAACGCAATCATAGGTTTGAACGTTGTTTTCAATTTAGACTTGTTTATATCTACTAATATATATAAGTTTTCGTGACAAGCCAATGCAACACTTCCCCCAGTTAAACGAACTCTTTTGAGGATCGGATCTGGTGTAGTGGTAAGCGTATCTGTCTTTATATGCTAGCCACATGATCTTCGAAGGATATAGAAAATGGCTGAAGTTCGTCTCTCGAGAGATTACTTTAAAATCAAATATGTATGTACAGACGATTTGAGGGTGGACATTTCTATGACATTGTTTGGTTAAACTATTCGGGCTTTATTTATATAATGTATGATATGGTATTTATAAGACAAAATACATATGTTTGTGATTATGGAACATTTGTAGAAGTCATTAGCAAACAATTTATTTTATTGTTGTACATCAGTATGAAACATGATTTAAATAGCTGCCAGAATTCCTGCAAATCAAAAATATCGCCTGACAGAATTTCTTGTACTCATTATTTCTATTTTAAACAATAGGTACAAACACTTCATTATTTGATTGGCAGATCATAGTAGGAGATGACAGTAACCTATTTACTATGGTGAGATGTAGCGAGATCAAATCTCATGAGTCGTCAGCGTCTGTGTTTTGTGATAGACCAAAGAGAGGACAATATCTAGCTGTGTTAAATAGACACGGTCCTGTTGTTATTTGTGATCTGTCAGTTTATAGTAAGTTGTAAATATACATTTTTTTCATATTTTCTCTGATCTGGAAATATATGTTAGTAATATATGTATATGTATATACTTCTCTTAATTCTTACCCGATTTATCCCTTTCCTGACCTGTTGATTATTTTTATTTAATCAACGTGTGGTTCGTTTGATCTCATTGATCATCTCGCTTAGCAAATCATTCGAAAGAAGAATCAAGATTGTCTTTATAGCGTCTAAAATCATGAGGGAAACATTCCACCACCAAATCTCGTGCAATACGATATTTATCCACTCTCTACAGTTACATTTTAAATATTTGAGTGTATAAATATCGTATCACACTAGATATATATATATTCAGGTATGATTCAGGATGCTATTGAAACTATGTAGTTAGTTTGATTCTAGATTGTACTCCGTTTATTTTTCATTTATTTCTTCTCTTTTAATTGTACTGGATAAGTATGAAAACAATGTAAATGAAATTGAACGCATTTCTCAATACTTTGTTACAAATAAAATGTGGTAAAGGACACTTTCAATCTAGCATAAACTTTTTGGGAATTTCTCAGTTTTGGGTTTGAACGTTCCTTGTGATGGTCAATCGAGGAAAGCGCTTCGAACGCACCAAATTTATAAAGTATTGACACACTGTTTTTTACCGTGTTAGCTCACACAATTACCATCAACAGGAAGACATGTTACCGTACAAAGATACATTATTCCAAGGATTTGTATAGTATGATTTGTGTAGTTAGAACTTACTACACAAATCCTTGATTATTCTGACTCCGAGTCGACCAACATTTGTTCTTTTATCTAGTTGCCATGTGCTTGGCGCAGTAGCAGCAAATACGAACTTTTTACCTCATATTTGAATACAAGTATTATTTGTTCTGTCAATCTTGTGGGCTATAGAAAAGAAAATTTGCAGACTTAAATGATCAAATTCTGTATAAATTGTTTAAGTAAACCCTCGCGTCAAATTGATCAATCGGCAATTTTTCGACTTCATACTATCGAGCAGTCGGAATTATGGCTGTCTAAGAAAGACTGACAACAACATGACAAAACGAAAAAAAAGTGGAAAGACACACGTTATTCATAAAAACATTAAAGAGAAAATAAAAAACAATATACGAACCCAACCAAAAAACCTGGGGATTACTCAGGTGATTTGGATTGGTAAGCAGTTTCGGGATCGAGGCTACGACGAATGCAACATACCTGTGGTCATTATTCTGTAACCAAGTCAAGATGTCGCACGTTAAACTTTCCAAGAAATGATTAATTCTACAATTGAGAGCCTCTGTATTAGTAGCTTCCTTGCAAGCAACGCTTTACCAAGGAATTCCTTATATCAAGCTCTTTTCGTCCTGGAGTAAAGTCGAATTTCTGATGATTTTTTTTCTTTTCTAGTTTGTAGTAAATATAGCTTTGGACCAGGATGTGAGCGACACTGTTCATGTAAAGAGCCAAACGAACAGTGTGATATACAAACTGGGGGATGTTCATCCGGGTGTCAGACTGGTCGTCAAGGAGTTGACTGTCAGATAGGTCTGTATTGAATAGAAATAACATCCGGATGTCAGACTGGTTGTCTAGGAATAGACTGTCAGATAGGTCTGTATTGAATAGAAATAACATCCGGATGTCAGACTGGTTGTCTAGGAATAGACTGTCAGATAGGTTTGTATTGAATAGCAATAACATCCGGATGTCAGACTGGTCGTCTAGGAGTAGACTGTCAGCTAGGTTTTTGTATTGAATAGCAATAGCATCCAGGTTTGTATTTAATAGCAATAAATCCGAGTGTCACACTGGTCGTGTAGGAATAGACTGTCAGATAGGTTTGTATTGAATAGCAAAAGCAATCTTAATATCTGGTATTGAAACACTGGTCATCTGGATATCTGGTAATGTGATGTTTTGCTTTGGAGCCGATTTTTTATGGCGCATGTTCGTAATACGGTGTATTTTCTTCTTGCTTTTGCCTTGATTTGTTCTTGAAATAAAATAACAACACGCATATTCACATTACTTTTGTTTTGTTTTACAAAGACATGATAAAGGGTTGTTATTTTAAAACTTGCTTACTTATAGTGGATAACAAAAAAGGGCGTACAATTTGATGTTGAGTTCATTGATTTTGAAAAAAAATATATATATATACTTCCGACGAATTATCCTTTGTTATTCTATTTTATCTACCTTTAGCTAAATAATTTAACTTTGGTTTTGTTTACAGAATGTCTTGGGTCTTATGGTCCAGGCTGTTCCTATAAGTGTGGCCATTGTTTAAATGGTACTACATGTGAGTCTATGTCTGGACTCTGTCCACTACACAAATGTGACCCAGGCTGGGAAGGCAGAACATGTCATAGAGGTAAAGTAAGAATCCTGGGCTAATGGCATGCCGATGTCAGTTCGAATATAACAAGTCAAGATATAATACATCGACAAATATTGGAATGAAAACCAATCGAAATCGTATGAACTCGAGGCGAAACATGAAATATCAATCTAAAACATGCCAGTAGGCCAAGGTCTATCTATCTATCATTGAAACCCAAGTTAAGCAAACAATTATACAATTCATAACATACATTAATGTTGTTTTAATAGTTAGATAGCCTGTCATTGGATAAAAGAAAATCCGTTTGTTTAAAACCTAGTGGAATATTTGCATATTCTCAACAATATTGAAAAAGCAAAAAAAAGATAGTTTGTAAAATGCCAGCTTAAAATACTTTCAATGATTCCAGACAAAATTACGGTCACTCTTTCCATGTATACAGTAAGTAACTACAAATATTATATATTACAACAATGAAACAACTTTATAATGCTGTTATGTTTTTTTTTCTATTACACCAGAGTGCAGTGTCGGTTTCTATGGATACAAATGTAATAGCAGGTGTGGGCACTGCAGCGATAACTTGATTTGTCATCATGTCAATGGAAGTTGTCCCAGTGGATGCCAATCTGGTTGGAGAGGCAAAACCTGTATGGAAGGTATGAAAAACGGCTAAATCGTAAATTGTATAATATGCTGTTACTCTACCCGACTAATGATAGCGGTGGTGGAAGTGATTAGATGTGCGCTAGTACCCTCGTCTGTCTGCTACTCCTCCTAAATCAGTGAATTGACTGATTAGTAATGTTTTGTTCACCTCCTGGTTGCTATTAACCGAATGGTTTTTCAAGTTACAGAGAGAAAACATAGCCTTTGTATTTTTTCCAAATAGAGATTTGCACAAACATCCTCATTTCTCCTCAATCGGTGAACACATTTCAATGAAACTCTAATGCATATTCAGGAACAATATAGCATTATTATTTATTAACTGACTAGCGCTGCTCATAAAGTACATCTACTCTCTATATTTTTTGCAGAGTTTTTGAGATGACAAGAGAAAGTCGGACATTTCTTTTCGAAAGAAAACAACTGTGACCAAAGAGACTAACTATGACTGTCTGTTTCTTATTGAACACATCTAATCCTAAAACGACATATACTTTCAAAACGGATGTGAAGTATGCTTTGGACATACGAAAAAAAGATGTAGGATATCAGTGTGGGGTATATGTCCATGAGACAGCAAACCAACGACCCAACATGATAGGCAAAAGAAATCTGTACGTATATTTACATTGAATAATTTAAAAAAAAAATTTAAACGGAATTTCAGAATGCAATACTACTCATTTTGGTAAAGATTGTTTACAGCCGTGTGGAAACTGTTTTGATGGATCATGTAATAAACAGACTGGAGAATGTACATCTGGCTGTAAGCCTGGGTTACAAGGGGACAGGTGTGATACAGGTATCGACAGATGGTACTAAGGGCATTAATAGTTGTTTACACTCATGTGATGACAGATAATCATTTATTATATTTTGGCATGCAAATATCTTAAATAGTTGCATATTTTACAGTATACGTATAGTAAAATTTTAATGAATCTGCAAGATTTCCCATGATAGTATTACAAATAGTACAGTCTTTTCGTACAATCGAACTCTTATAAATTATCCATTTATAAAAGAGTGTTTGATACTATGAAATAGTTAAACAGTAAACTGAAGAACAGACAAAACATGAAAAAAGAACAAACATACAAAAACAATCAATACCCTAATATAACATAGAAAACCGACGCGAAGCACGAACACCACTATAACATTGGATGATTGCAGGTTCTAAACCTATTTCCACATGTGGCAGCCATCATATTAAAAGTCTTGAAATTCGAAGTTATTCATTTGCAAAGAGAGAGGGAAAATAAAAAAAATGTGCCTACTGTCAACTTGTCATCAAAGTTTGCATTTATGACAAACGTACTCCGTTACGATCACCCAAACCAAGTCCAGATGTCGTCCATAAAATCAAAGTGATCATTGCACATTAACCTTTAGGAACGTACTAACATGCAGTCAACTGCTATCAGCAATCCTCTAAGAAGTCCGGATAAGGATTCTATGGAATTATAAATAAGAATTGAAAAAGCATTGTCAAATTATTCACAACTTTTTAGACTCTGGGTAATTTACAGCTTGAAATACACAACATTTCCTTTTTTCAGTATAAAAAGTAATTATTGTCTATTCAAATTGACAAAGACCTGTATTGTCTATTGGTTTTTGTGTCGTTGGGTGGCTGTCTCATTGGCGTGTACATCATGTATTTAAGCATTATACATATGCAGAAATTGAAGTCATCTCTTTTATTGATAACTATCTTTCTCAACTGGCCTTTAACTGTAAGTTTTTATATGAATGTCAGTTTCGATGCAAAAGTAGCAAAAGTTAACTTATTCTGTTTAATCTTATATTAAATGATCTTACTAGCCCCTTTTTGGTTTTCTTGTAAATCTTATGCAAAAAGTCTGTCATACGAATAAAGATAAAACATATAAAAAGGAAAAATATATATATATACATGGCCGTAAACACTAGCAATATTTAAACATTTTCACCTTGGCGAAATTTGAGAGATTTTGTTAGGAACAATTTATAGATTCATACGCATCAATATTAAACGTCCAGTTGTTTTAGACGAAACTTTAATGCAAAATGAAAACAGTAGCCCAGTGACCTGTTAAGTAAGATGAATAGAAATAGGCGCGTGACATATAACATCTACTTATTGTTCTCTCTAGAATGTACTCCTGGTAGATGGGGTTTAAGATGTGGTGAATTATGTGGACACTGCCAAAAGAAAGTATGCGATCTAGTAAATGGTACATGTGATAGTGCGTGTGAACCTGGATGGACGGGAAATAAATGCTTGGAAGGTAATTCAACATATTCAGCATTTATAAGATAAGATCATACTTATGTTTTTATATCAAATTTGTCTTATTATTTATTTACCATTGTAACTGTGGTAAAAAGAACAAAAAATATGTCCATATATACGAAATGCAATATTTTGCAAATTATTTAAAGCTTTTGCTCTGGCCACAAGTACATGTATTATATTTTCCATAGAATGTCCTGGTGGTATGTTTGGAATGAATTGTATAAAGGTGTGTGGTAAATGTAAAGGAGCTGTATGTAATACTACCGATGGAAGATGTCTTCATGGGTGTATGGATGGATTTGGAGGCGAGCATTGTACGCCACAGACATCTGCATGTAAATATTTAAGCTTGACCATTAAGGCACACCACCAATATATATATATGTAAATTTACATTATGAAAGTTGTCCATGTATACAGTCACTGAAGATTATGCCAAAGGCTTAAAGACATGTTGTACATTACATTCAAAGCTAATTATATTCTACCCACTGGTAATATTGTTTGCTGTGAGTTGCCCAGCAAAATAACACCCATATCATTTTCAAAATTGTTAGTCCCCTGGGGGAGATTTCAAATCTAAAAACAACAGTTGAAACCCATTACATGATAAGGAACATCGTCAATGGTTGTCATATGTCAATTCTTAGTATGTTTTGTTATTTGCAGAATTTGGTGTTGATGGCAGAGCTTTGATGGTTTTTGTTTAATTTATTCACATTTAGACTCTTGATTTGTCGATCGATTTAGACCAGCCCAGTAGTCACTACCTTTGTATTGACCTAAAATAGCACTGATACGTACATTTGATTATTCTTCCCAAAGCAAAGACAGTCTTAGATGTATTGGTCACAACTTTACGGAGATTTTGGTTTTTTTTAAATGCTCTTCATCTACGTATTTGATTTGGTCTCACAACTGTTTTCATTCAAGCCCCAATGATAAGTCTTATGTAAACCCGCGAATGGCGTACCAACATATAAGCTTAATTTGGTATCTCCGATGATTTTTTCAACCGTTAGGTCGATGACACTGCTGGTGAACGTTTTGTCCCTGATGTTATTACTTACCAAGGAGTCAGCACTTCTGCGTTGACACGAAATGGGATTCATATACGTTAATTTACTTAACATTTACTATCAAAAGACATGACCGAATATGATTTTAAATTATTGAAAATTGCTTTACATATTTTAAATATTTTATTTCTTTTGATTATACATTACAGTATTTTTCACAATTAACCCATAATTTAATTTTTTCTAATGATCATGTATTGGTGAGACTACTATAACACATGTACTGTTACATGTGTCATAGATATAATATATCTATGCATGTGTGTACAGTCTGGGACAAAGTTTTGCCTTGTTTAAATTTGAGCTCTAAGTCAATATAAGCACTTGTCAACTGTCTCTAAAAAATGACACCAGAGAACAAAATACGTATGCAGATTACTGCTAAACTCTGTAGATCTTTACAGGTTTCGTTCAAGTCTTATGATTAACATTACATATTTTCATACCCTGGTGGTTGCGGAATTCGTGAGTTTGTCCTTCTGTTCGACTTTTTTTAACCCACAACAGCTCATTTTTTTTCATCTGGAGGATTTTTTGCATTACCTTTGACATGACATGAAGTTTGTCATATCCGCACACTCCATCGCACATAGTACATACTTCTTCTAAAACCCCTTGTTATACCCCTTATTATAATTCATTGAAACTTTGTCAGAATCTTCACCATATAATATCATTATGCATTTCTGTTTTGGTCCGAATTAGTGTTTTGGGTTACTCTTAGCAAATCACGATTTTTGCCATTGCCTTATCTTGAAGATATCTATTTTGTATCTGCAATCCTCCTAAACCCCGTATTAGAACTTATTTAAACTTTCTCAGAATCGTAACCATACAATGACATTGTGTATCTTCTATTTTGTTTTAAATTCGAATTATCTTCGGGTTTTCCCTGAGCAAATCAAGGACTTCGCAAGAATTGATAATATCATTTGTTAGCTTTGCTCGCAGTACCTCTAGTTTATATATTTCAACAGTTTAAAAAAACAACTTTATATCTTGTCTTAAATTTTTTTTAGGGGGAGGGTGTGTGGTGGTGGTGGTGGTGGTGGTGGTTTGGGGGTATTATGTATTATACACTTTTGAAAAAGAAAGTATTTCTTTTTTATCTTGTAAACTTTTTAATAAATATATTACAATTAAACTAGTGTAGGCATGAGATCGCCAACAATGTGATTTTCCATATAATTTCTGTTTACAAGGGCACAACCCCTGTAAAAAGTTGGTCTGCACTCTTCTATGCTGATATAAGCCTATGATATACATTTCATAAAAAAATTGACAAGAAATGTAGGTGTGAAAGTGATTACAATGGAATATTCAATATAAATTACATTTCAAAGAGATATAAATGCTGTAAAAATAATTGATCAGCCCTGATTTTAGAACTCACCCAAGACATTACTGATATACACCTTTGATATAAATTTCATAATAATCCTACAATAAATGTATGTGTGAGAGTGCTTACAATGCAGTTCTCTTAAAATAGTTTGAATAAGGAATAACAAAATCTGTCTATAAATTCTTTATTTTTTCAAAAATGAATCATATATTTCTCTCTACTTTTTTAACCTATCTTTTTGTATTTCTTTCTTTACAGCTCCTATAGCGCATGCATTCGAAGAAGAAACCACAAACACATTACAAGTATTTCTTGGTGTTAGTGTAACCATAGTGATCTCTGTAATGGTCTGCTTAATATTTTGTCTGGTTTCAAACTGGAGAAGAGAAGATATATCTAAATATGATAGACAACTTGAAGTAAGCAATAAAGACATCAGACTGGAAGAAACTAGACATTTAAACTGTAATGGAGAACTTTCAAGTTAATAAATACAACATCTAAAATTGTTGTGTTGATTTTGGATAATTCTTTTGATTCCTGGGTTATAGCACAATTTTTTTTTGTTTACAGTTAGGAAGAAAACTATACTGATATTAGTTCTTTCAAAGAACTTATCCAAATATTTAATATCATTTGAATATATACAAGACTGACCAATTCTTAAAATTTTTAAAATAAGTTCATGTACTGACTGATTCTTGTCATTATTAAAAGTGCAGTCATTCCATATACCAAATACAGTTATATTGCTTATAGTATCTTAAAAACAGACAAAATAAAGAAAAAAATAAAAAAAAATTGACCAATGAACAATTAAAATGAGATAAATCCTTCCAGACAGATATAAACAGCTTACAATCATTCCATACACCAAATATAGTTGATCTATTGCATATAGTATCTAAGAAATGAACTTGAAAAAAAAACTTAACATTTATCACATCCGTAAAATGAGGTCGAGGTCAGATGAACCCTGTCTGGCAGATATGTAGACCTTGCAAGACTCCCATATATACCAAATATAGTTATGTTATTACTCATAATAAGTGAGAAATTCAGAAGACAGAAAAAAAAACTATAGTAGCTAAACCATGAAAACGAGAGTCAAAAACCAGGTCAAGAAAAATGGACATACAGACGGAAACTGCGTTACATATTCGTACTTGGGTATAGGGTTACATATAATTTTTACGTCCTGTCATTATATGTAACCCTATACCCAAGTACGGCTGCAACCCCATATGTAGTATTCGATTTATCATCCGGAAACCTCTTTTCGGCAGATATTTCAGTCAGTATCTTTTAGTTACTATGACCTTGACCTTGGACATAGTGACCTCAGAATCAACTGGGGTTTCCTCTCATTATATGTGCCTATGTATCACAGTATGGTTGCAATCCAAAATGTAGTATTGGTGTTAGCATCTGGGAACGAAAATGACTGACGGATAGGTCAAAACTTTTATATCCCTGGCTCTTCGTAGCGTGAGATATAATTAAGAGTTTTATACTAGACTGATAACATATGAGTATGCCACATTTCTAATAAGGGTGAAAGAACTTAATCATAACATGCCAGATGAAGTAGGTCACAATATTTTCATATGCTTCGTTTTCCTTCCAATTTATTTAATGGTAGTTGAGAAGAAGTTGAGCCATTCAGAAACCAGATATGCCATGGCAACCATGTTCATTGACGAAGTGCCGCCAATGTGGCATTTATTCCAAATTTGATTCAGTTGTTCTTAAGAAGAAAATCAAATGCAAAATTTAAGGAAGGTCTAATCTGTAATTCCTAAGATCATGCAACGAAAATTTCACACATAGCGATTATGTGTAACAAAATATAAGTTTTTCGGTAAGTAGGAAGTTAATGAGCAATGAATATGAAAATGTATCCCATATTACAGCAAGCTAAAATGAAGCTTGATATAAACTTTAGGAAGCTCTGTTTTGTAGCTCCTATTAAGTAAATTGCGACAAAAATTTAATGGAATGGAAACATAGACGGAGAGACAAACGGAAAGACGACATGCAGAGGTATTTCCGGCAGCTTACTAGGTTTAGAACTTTAAAACTGGTAATAAGATGTGTTAAAATAGAACTGGGCAATCTATTAAAGATTAAAGGCTCCTAAATTACAGTTGCTGAAATGCATTCTTGCAAAATATCACATAACGAAAGAAATAGGAAACTGTTGAAAGCTAAGACCTAGTAGCTAAATATCAAAACTGACAACAGCCAACATAATCAGCTACTAATAAATAGTGATCTAATGGCTATGATACACAAGACCATCAACAGGAAGACATGTTACCGTACAAAGATACATTATTCCAAGGATTTGTATAGTATGATTTGTGTAGTAAGAACTTACTACACAAATCCTTGATTATTCTGACTCCGAGTCGACCAACATTTGTTCTTTTACCTAGTTGCCATGTGCTTGGCGCAGTAGCAGCAAATACGAACTTTTTACCTCATATTTGAATACAAGTATTATTTGTTCTGTCAATCTTGTGGGCTATAGAAAAGACAATTTGCAGACTAAAATGATCAAATTCTGTATAAATTGTTTAAGTAAACCCTCGCGTCAAATTGATCAATCGGCAATTTTTCGACTTCATACTATCGAGCAGTCGGAATTATGGCTGTCTAAGAAAGACTGACAACAACATGACAAAACGAAAAAAAAAGTGGAAAGACACACGTTATTCCTAAAAACATTAAAGAGAAAATAAAAAACAATATACGAACCCAACCAAAAAACCTGGGGATTACTCAGGTGATTTGGATTGGTAAGCAGTTTCAGGATCGAGGCTACGACGAATGCAACATACCTGTGGTCATTATTCTGTAACCAAGTCAAGATGTCGCACGTTAAACTTTCCAAGAAATGATTAATTCTACAATTGAGAGCTTCTGTATTAGTAGCTTCCTTGCAAGCAACGTTTTACCAAGGAATTCCTTATATCAAGCTCTTTTCGTCCTGGAATAAAGTCGAATTTCTGATGATTTTTTTTCTTTTCTAGTTTGTAGTAAATATAGCTTTGGACCAGGATGTGAGCGACACTGTTCATGTAAAGAGCCAAACGAACAGTGTGATATACAAACTGGGGAATGTTCATCCGGGTGTCAGACTGGTCGTCAAGGAGTAGACTGTCAGATAGGTCTGTATTGAATAGAAATAACATCCGGATGTCAGACTGGTTGTCTAGGAATAGACTGTCAGATAGGTTTGTATTGAATAGCAATAACATCCGGATGTCAGACTGGTCGTCTAGGAGTAGACTGTCAGCTAGGTTTTTGTATTGAATAGCAATAGCATCCAGGTATCAGACTGGTCATCTAGGAATAGACTGTCAGATAGGTGATGTTTTGCTTTGGAGCCGATTTTTTTTGGCGTTTTTATAAACAGACTGGAGAATGTACACCTGGCTGTAAGCCTGGGTTACAAGGGAACAGGTGTGATACAGGTATCGACAGATGGTACTAAGGGCATTAATAGTTGTTTACACTCATGTGATAACAGATAATCATTTATTATATTTTGGCATGCAAATATCTTAAATGGTTGCATATTTTACAGTATACGTATAGTAAAATTTTAATGAATCTGCAAGTTTTCCCATGATAGTATTACAAATAGTACAGTCTTTTCGTACAATCGAACTCTTATAAATTATCCATTTATAAAAGAGTGTTATGAAATAGTTAAACAGTAAACTGAAGAACAGACAAAACATGAAAAAAGAACAAACATACAAAAACAATCAATACTTTAATATAACATAGAAAACCGACGCGAAGCACGAACACCACTATAACATTGGATGATTGCAGGTTCTAAACCTATTTCCACATGTGGCAGCCATCATATCAAAAGTCTTGAAATTCGTAGTTATTCATTTGCAAAGAGAGAGGGAAAATAAAAAAAATGTGTCTACTGTCAACTTGTCATCAAAGTTTGCATATATGACAAACGTACTCCGTTATGGTCATCCGAACAAAGTCCAGATGTCGTCCATAAAATCAAAGTGATCATTGCACATTAACCTTTAGGAACGTACTAACATGCAGTCAACTGCTATCAGCAATCCTCTAAGAAGTCCGGATAAGGATTCTATGGAATTATAAATAAGAATTGAAAAAGCATTGTCAAATTATTCACAACTTTTTAGACTCGGGGGTAATTTACAGCTTGAAATACACAACATTTCCCTTTTTTCATAAGTATAAAAAGTAATTATTGTCTATTCAAATTGACAAAGACCTGTTCTGTCTATTGGTTTTTGTGTCGTTGGGTGGCTGTCTCATTGGCGTGTACATCATGTATTTAAGCATTATACATATGCAGAAATTGAAGTCATCTCTTTTATTGATAACTATCTTTCTCAACTGGCCTTTAACTGTAATTTTTTATATGAATGTCAGTTTCGATGCAAAAGTAGCAAAAGTTAACTTATTCTCTTTAATCTTATATTAAATGATCTTACTAGCCCCTTTTTGGTTTTCTTGTAAATCTTATGCAAAAAGTCTGTCATACGAATAAAGATAAAACATATAAAAAGGAAAAAAATATATATATAAATGGCCGTAAACACTAGCAATATTTAAACATTTTCACCTTAGCGAAATTTGAGAGATTTTGTTAGGAACAATTTATAGATTCATACGCATCAAGATTAAACGTCCAGTTGTTTAAGACGAAACTTAAATGCAAAATGATAACAGTAGCCCACTGACCTTTTAAGTAAGATGAATAGAAATAGGCGCGTGACACATAACATCTACTTATTGTTCTTTCTAGAATGTACTCCTGGTAGATGGGGTTTAAGATGTGGTGAATTATGTGGACACTGCCAAAAGAAAGTATGCGATCTAGTAAATGGTACATGTGATAGTGCGTGTGAACCTGGATGGACGGGAAATAAATGCTTAGAAGGTAATTCAACATATTCAGCATTTATAAGATAAGATCATACTTATGTTTTTATATCAAATTTGTCTTATTATTTATTTACCATTGTAACTGTGGTAAAAAGAACAAAAAATATGTCCATATATACGAAATGCAATATTTTGCAACTTATTTAAAGCTTTTGCTCTGGCCACAAGTACATGTATTATATTTTCCATGGAATGTCCTAGTGGTATGTTTGGAATGAATTGTATAAAGGTGTGTGGTAAATGTAAAGGAGCTGTATGTAATACTACCGATGGGAGATGTCTTCATGGGTGTTTGGATGGATTTGGAGGCGAGCATTGTACGCCACAGACATCTGCATGTAAATATTTAATCTTGACCATTAAGGCACACCACCAATATATATATGTAAATTTACATTATGAAAGTTGTCCATGTATACGGTCACTGAAGATTATGCCAAAGGCTTAAAGACATGTTGTACATTACATTTAAAGCTAATTATATTCTACCCACTGGTAATATTGTTTGCTGTGAGTTGCCCAGCAAAATAACACCCATATCATTTTCAAACTTGTTAGTCCCCTGGGGGATATTTTAAATCTAAAAACAACAGTTGAAACCCATTACATGATAAGGAACATCGTCAATGGTTGTCATATGTCAATTCTTAGTATGTTTTGTTATTTGCAGAATTTGGTGTTGATGGCAGAGCTTTGATAGTTTTTGTTTAATTTATTCACATTTAGACTCTTGATTTGTCGATCGATTTAGGCCAGCCCAGTAGTCACTACCTTTGTATTGACCTAAAATAGCACTGATACGTACATTTGAATATTCTTCCCAAAGCAAAGACAGTCTTAGATGTATGAGTCACAACTTACGGAGATTTTGGTTTTTTTTAAATGCTCTTCATCTACGTATTTGATTTGGTCTCACAACTGTTTTCATTCAAGCCCCAATGATAAGTCTTATGTAAACCCGTGAATGGCGTACCAAAATATAAGCTTGATTTGGTATCTCCGATGAGTTTTTACAACCGTTAGGTCGATGACACTGCTGGTGAACGTTTTGTCCCTGATGTTATTACTTACCAAGGAGTCAGCACTTCTGCGTTAACACGAAATGGGATTCATATACGTTAATTTCCTTAACATTTACTATCAAAAGACATGACCGAATATGATTTTAAATTATTGAAGATTGCTTTACATATTTTAAATATTTTATTTCTTTTGATTATACATTACAGTATTTTTCACAATTAACCCATAATTTAATTTTTTCTAATGATCATGTATTGGTGAGACTACTATAACACATGTACTGTTTCATGTGTGTACAGTCTGGGACAAAGTTTTGCCTTGTTTAAATTTGAGCTCTTAGTCAATATAAGCACTTGTCAACTGTCTCTAAAAAATTACACCAGAGAACAAAATACGTATGCAGATTACTGCTAAACTCTGTAGATCTTTACAGGTTTCGTTCAAGTCTTATGATTAACATTACATATTTTCATACCCTGGTGGTTGCGGAATTCGTGAGTTTGTCCTTCTGTTCGACTTTTTTTTTAACCCGCAACAGCTCATTTTTTTTCATCTGGATGATTTTTTGCATTACCTTTGACATGACATGAAGTTTGTCATATCCGCACACTCCATCGCACATAGTACATACTTCTTCTAAAACCCCTTGTTATACCCCTTATTATAATTCATTGAAACTTTGTCAGAATCTTCACCATATAATATCATTATCCATTTCTGTTTTGGTCCGAATTAGTGTTTTGGATTACTCTTAGCAAATCACGATTTTTGGCATTGCCTTATCTTGAAGATATCTTTTTTTGTATCTGCAACCCTCCTAAACCCCGTATTAGAACTTATTTAAACTTTCTCAGAATCGTAACCATACAATGACATTATGGATCTTCTATTTTGTTTTAAATTCGAATTATCTTCGGGTTTTCCCTGAGCCAATCAAGGACTTCACAAGAATTGAAAATATCATTTGTTAGCTTTGCTCGCAGTACCTCTAGTTTATATATTTCAACAGTTTAAAAAAACAACTTAATATCTTGTCTTAAATTTTTTTTAGGGGGAGGGTGTGTGGTGGTGGTGGTGGTTTGGGGGGGAGGGGGGGTATTATGTATTATACACTTTTGAAAAAGAAAGTATTTCTTTTTTATCTTTTAAACTTTTTAATAAATATTTTACAAGACATGTAGGCATGAGATCGCCAACAATGTGATTTTCCATATAATTTCTGTTTACAAGGGCACAACCCCTGTAAAAAAAGTTGGTCTGCACCCTTCTATGCTGATATAAGCCTATGATATACATTTCATAAAAAAATTGACAAGAAATATAGGTGTGAAAGTGATTACAATGGAATATTCAATATAAATTACATTTCAAAGAGATATAAATGCTGTAAAAATAATTGATCAGCCCTGATTTTAGAACTCACCCAAGACATTACTGATATACACCTTTGATATAAATTTCATAATAATCCTACAATAAATGTATGTGTGAGAGTGCTTACAATGCAGTTCTCTTAAAATAGTTTGAATAAGGAATAACAAAATCTGTCTATAAATTCTTTATTTTTTCAAAAATGAATCATATATTTCTCTCTACTTTTTTAACCTATCTTTTTGTATTTCTTTCTTTACAGCTCCTATAGCGCATGCATTCGAAGAAGAAACCACAAACACATTACAAGTATTTCTTGGTGTTAGTGTAACCATAGTGATCTCTGTAATGGTCTGCTTAATATTTTGTCTGGTTTCAAACTGGAGAAGAGAAGATATATCTAAATATGATAGACAACTTGAAGTAAGCGATAAAGACATCAGACTGGAAGAAACTAGACATTTAAACTGTAATGGAGAACTTTCAAGTTAATAAATACAACATCTAAAATTGTTGTGTTGATTTTGGATAATTCTTTTGATTCCTGGGTCATACTACAATTTTTTTTTGTTTACAGTTAGGAAGAAAACTATACTGATATTAGTTCTTTCAAAGAACTTATCCAAATATTTAATATAATTTGAATATATACAAGACTGACCAATTCTTAAATTTTTTAAAATAAGTTCATGTACTGACTGATTCTTGTCATTATTAAAAGTGCAGTCATTCCATATACCAAATACAGTTATATTGCTTATAGTATCTTAAAAACAGAAAAAAAAATTTGACCAATGAACAATTAAATGAGATAAATCCTTCCAGACAGATATAAACAGCTTATAATCATTCCATACACCAAATATAGTTGATCTATTGCATATAGTATCTAAGAAATGAACTTGAAAAAAAAACTTAACATTTATCACATCCGTAAAATGAGGTCGAGATCAGATGAACCCTGTCTGGCAGATATGTAGACCTTACAAGACTCCCATATATACCATA